CTATTCATGTCTATGCGACCAATGTACACACATTTAGGTATTTACATGCGTACACAGGCAGTCACACACGGAGGGGAGATACAAACCCACGGACGTTACATCAACTGGAATGTAATACCCTTGTTAAAATGCTCCAAGCAATTAGTACATCCCAGAATAAACAACTGGAGACATATTATCATAATACAGCCTCATTGAACTTTATGAAATTGATTAACTTTTTGGAACACTGTTGTTCAGGGTATAAGTTGTAGCTATAAATAAATGTATCAGTTAATACAGTTAGGACATCCTCAAGCTTTTAAATGTCCTGATCTTTCCGTACTTGGTACATAAGAAAGAGACCTGAAGACTTTGTTAACGGCCGTTTTTGCACCTCTGGAATATGCTTGTGTTGGATAACAGCGTGGGTGCATCTGCCCTTGCAAGCGTTGTGCGCCTCCCTTGGGCAAGCGTTTCTTTGACAGATCTATGTTCCAGCACTTTGGGGGCTGGTGGAGGCAATTTCTGTTGTTTAACGAATCAGGAAGCTACGAAAACAGAACAGAACAGAACAAAACCCCCTTCACCACAGCCAACACCGCCATGCTTCCCTGTCTCCTACGGCGGACTCTTTGGTTTTCCCTGAAAGCATAAGGACATCGTGAGCTGACGTGTTTTAAGAAAAGGATTTTTTGTTATTTGTTATTAGCTTCCTGTCATGCCATTGAATGGGTCTTTCCTCCTCAGGGTAAAAAGTGAAGTCGTCCTCTTCCACATGTAAACTGAACTTTTCGCTGACATTTGAAGCAGGACGGGGAGAAGGATGCGTGGGAGGAGGGGAGGGCTGAGCAATTTTTCAGTGAAGTAGGATCACATTTTTCAGCCCTTTTGAAAAAAATCTTCCCTTATTTTCACTTTCTCTAAGTTTTCTGAAAGGCTCTTTGGCTCGTTCTGGATCAGCAGAAGGCGTCCCACCCGCCGAAAGACGCCCCCCGACTGGCGGGGGGAGGAGGAAAGCCGGGAGGGGGGAGCGG